GGAGGGGATGGTTATGCACTGTGGGCCAGAGATTTTTTTGCAATATGTACATTATTGTGTTGATTTTTCTCAATAAATTGTGGCTTAGGTACTATCATCCCCTATTTTATAAGGATGAGACCAAGGCCCAGAAAGGAAGGGTCTTGTCTGAGATTATCCCTAGGCCTGCCCACAAAAACCCACATGGTTCTTCAACCCCAGGTTGAAAGTCAGCCACGAGGATTTGTCCTGCCAAATATAAGGGTATTTGGAAGAGACGGTTAGTCAGTTCAGACCTGACTGATGTTGATACAGGGTGAGGACAAGAAAGAGACCAACAGAACAGGAGATGGAACATGGTAGATTTAGAAAGAGCTTGAGCTGGAAGCATGGTTATCCATATGGGGTCCCGACCCCACACCATATGCAAAATCAATTTCATGTAGATTGTAACAAGACAGAACAAAAGAACTAACATTAAAATGTTAAGACCCTCAGAATATCAAAAGCACCTTAAGAAAAACAAGCCACAGGTCTGGAGAAGACATTTGCAACACATACAGCTGAGAAAGAATTAAGAGCTGCTTTTTTTTTTTTTTTTTTTTAAATAATGCTCCTAAGAAACTCTGGTAGCATAGTGGTTACAAATCAGGCTGCAAATCTCAAGGTCAGCAGTTCAAAACTACCAGCCATCCTGTTGGAGAAAGATGAGGCTTTCTGCTTCCGTAAAGATTTACAGCCTGGGAAACCCTGTACAGGGTCACCATGATTGGGAACTGACTCCACAGCACATAACCACTACCACCACCAGGAGTCCTGGTGTGGCGCTGTGGGTTAATGCACAAGACTGCAAAGCCATTTGAACTGCAAGGTTGGCGGTTCAAGCTCACCAGTCGCTCCTCGGAAACCCTATACAAGGTTGTTATGGGTCGAAATCGACTTGACAGCACTTAATAATGACAACAATACAGCTATAAGACAAACCACACAGTAAGGAGAAATGAACAAACACCTCATACAAAAGACAAAGTATGTGCAGGGATGTTCAATCTCATTTGTATCCAGGAATGTAAATTGAAACCAGATAGATGAGCCGCTCTAAAACTAACCCTAAGTATGATTGCATATATCTGTGAATACGCTAAAAAAAAAAAAAAAAAAAATCTCCCCCCCACCCCACTGGATTGTATACTTTCTTTAAATGGGTGAATTGTTTGGTATACAAGTTATAGCTCAATAAAATTACTATTTTTTTTAAACACCACAGTGAGATCCTTTTTTTTGTACCTGTGGTAAAACTTAAGGAACAGGGTCATTGCTAACCTTATATAGGCCGCTATGAGTTGGAAGCAACTCAACAGTACTCATTGGAAAGCTGCTCTTTGGAAACCTATAAGCGTCGCTGTGAGTTGGAACTGATGCGACAGCACTTAACAACAACAACATAGGAGTCTTAGTGTGGCACTGTGGGGTGAGCACTGGACTGCGAACCACAAGGTCAGCAGTTCAAATCCACCAGCTGCTCCTCAGAAACCCTACACAGGGTAGCTATGAGTTGGAATCAATGTGACGGCGCTGAACATCGAAGGAGTCTTTAGTGGCACAGTGGTTAAGCACTCAGTTGCTAACCATAAGGTCATCATTTTGAACCCACCAGCCGCTCCAGGAGAAGAGATGTGGCATGAATGTTAGGGGTGAGGAATGCCGCCGCTGCCGTTAATGGGCATCTGAGATGGCGGAGCCACTTTGGAAACCAATTTGTATCAGTTTATAAAGTTGAACATGCTATGTCCTACAGCCCAGTCATCGAGTCCTGGGGACCTGCCTGCAGACAGACCCTGGGACACATGGGTAGGAGCTCACTGTAGCACCAGACTATAAACGTCTCAAATGTCCCCAGGATGGATAAGCCATTGGGGTCTCATCATACACCAGAATGTTACACAGCCATGAAAACGGATGAACTACAGCCTCCATGCAAAAACCTACACAAATGTTAGTAGTCATGATGCTGCGTCAGAAAGCAAGTTCGAGCGCATATGACGACATACACACATGCACATACACAGGTGCACTTATGAAAATGAAAACAAAAAGGTGAAGGAAATTCAGAACAGTGATTACCTCAGGCATCAGAGTATGTGATTGGTTATATTTTACTTTTGGCAGCTGGGTGGGGGGTCTAAAAGATGTTGTTAGGTCAGTAAACAGACAAGGAGACCAGATTTATAAGACTTGGTGGACGGGGAGTCAGCCCCAGGGGGACACGGGTTGTGGAATGGGTTGCAGAAAAAAGACTAGGTCAATTTTGGGTCAGATGGTCATCAAGGCACACCTCGCCGGCTGTGTGACCTCCAGAAAGTGACCTAGCCTCTCTGAGCTTTGATCTATCTCCTCAGACATTAAGTGTAGCACGTCCCTCCCAGAGCTTATACCACAGGAACCCTGGTGGCGCAGTGGGTCAGCGTTGGACTGCTAACCAAAACGTCAGAGTTTCGAGCCCACCAGCCACCCCATGGGAGAAAGATGAGGCCATCTGTTCTTGTAAAGAGTTACAAGAACCCTAAGGGGCAGTTCTTCTGTCTTACAAGGTCATTGTGAGCGGAGTCAACTCCACAGCTGGAGATGAATTTGACTTAACCCAACATTAGACAGTGTTATGAAGAAGCAGAGGTAAACAAGCCCTGCAAGTGTGGGGGCCTGAACCACAGACCCCCGATCTTGGGTGAGGGGACGCCCACGTGGCCACGCACCAGGAGTGGGGTGTTGCCGGGGACTCTGACCCCATCGATCAAGGTCTCCTCCTCTAGGCGGCGAAAGGTGCCCCAGGCTGGCGGATACAGCCGCAGTGACTCTTTGAGGACCTGCAGCAGCACACAGATAAATCTTTGGTGACTTCAGGAGATCCCTTGGTGACAGTGGCCTGCTCGGGCCCAGCTCTGAGCCTACTCACAGTGCTGAAGAGGCCCCAGGTCCTGGATCTGGTCAGGACAGGACTCTGGGAGTCAATGCAGAGCCACCTTGGGGGGTCTCACTTTCTGTCCAACCCCTCAAGTGACAGAAGGGAAACTGACACCCAGAAGGAGACCAGGCTCTGCCATCTCAGAGACTCGCTAAAGTCCAAGAGTGATCCCAGCTGGGTGGACTGTGCAGGGTCCCCTACTGAGCCCAGTGGGGAGGGTCCCTGCCCTTGGGGAAGTCTTCAAGCCTGGCCACAACAGTGACCCGAGCAGCCTTACAAACGCTGGTGACTCTGATGTCATAGATCTCCTGAAAGATTGTCCCATGCAGCAGAGTCTGAGGACGTCAGCCTCAGAGGGCACGGGCCCAGGGCTTCCCTCCCACAGCCCCCACCTGGGAGAGGTACTGTAGCCTTCCCAGGTCCTCACAGTCCAGGTGCCTCTTGGAACCGACCACCTCATCCACCTCAGCCTGCAACCTGTGGGAGAGATAAGGAGAGTTACGTTCCGATGACATTTTTCCTTATATGAGTTTTAAGACTTGAGGGTGGAAAGGTCAGCTGACTTAACACAGTCTGCAAGTTCTACATCCTACTTTGGTGAGTAGAATCTGTGGTTTAAAAGCTCATGAGCACCCAGGACCACCAAGAAGGAAGAGCATGAGTGTAGTGTGAGATCCCTACCTAGAAAAGCGGTGACAGCAGAGATGGTGGCAGAGGCGATGGCCTGGAGAGACAGAGCAGCTGTGGGCTCTGGGACCATGGACTGAGTAAGGCTGTGAGCCTGCAGGCAGGAGGCTGGCTTACAGAATATGCCCTTTGGACATCGAAATGAATATTGTTTTGTATGTGTGCGTTAAACATTTTTGTTTTGTTCATTTATGAAATACAAGATGTAAATGGGGAGCTACAGGGAGGAAGTGGGATCACTGTTGTTGCAGGAAGGGGATTTTAATCATTGAGATGAAACAAAGTGTCTAATTTGTTGAATGTAAAACTGATGATCTTCACTCAATTCACAATAAAAAGTTTTGTTCTTTTTAAAGTTCATGAACAACCTGTAAGGTATAACTACTGTCTCTCCCTGTCCAGAGGAAAGAAGAATGAAGAAAATCAAAGATGCACAGAAGCAATGAGGACACTGGACCACTGCAGCAGGTGACCATCAGTCTCCATGACCCTGAGACCAGAAGAGCGAGATGGTGCCCTACAACCAACTGCTCTGACCATCCGTCTCCATGACCCTGAGACCAGAAGAGCGAGATGGTGCCCTACAACCAACTGCTCTGACCATCCGTCTCCATGACCCTGAGACCAGAAGAGCGAGATGGTGCCCTACAACCAACTGCTCTGACCATCCGTCTCCATGACCCTGAGACCAGAAGAGCGAGATGGTGCCCTACAATCAACTGCTCTGAGAGGAATCACATGAGAAGGCCCAGGATAGAATGGGAGAAAAGTATGGTTCAAAACCTGAAATTTACAAAAAAAAAACTAAACTAACTGGTCAGATAGAGACTAGCAGACCCCAAGACTACGTCCCTTAGTCACCCTCAGTTCTGGGAGTGAATTCTCCCCCGTAGCTCAATTTTCAGTCAAATGATAGGCTCTCTGAGGAATGAGAAAACTAGGGAGGTACACACATCTTAATCAGCCAGTTGAGATCAAAAGGGAAGCATTTACCCAAGGACAAAGGTCAGAAGGCTTAGGAAAGAAGGAGGAATAGAAACAAGAAATACAGGGAGGAAGTGGAAAGAATGATGTTGCATTGTGGAGATCGCAAACAATGACTTGAAGCAAAGGTGGATGAATTGGTGACTGGAAAACTGTAAACCTTCACCCAATTCACAGTAAAGTTCTATTCTGCTAACAGACACTGCTATAGACATCCAGTTCCTGTGACTTCTGAAGTGACGTGCCTGAGCCATTTGCAAATACGTTCCACGAGCCTTAAAACATTCAATCTTTGTGTGTGTTATTGGGTGACTTTGAGTTGGTCCCAATTCACGGTGACTTTACAGGACAGAGCAGATCTGCCCCAGAGGGTGTCCAGGACTGTCATTTTCATGGACTCAGATTGCCGTATCTTTCTACAGCTGAGCGGCTGATGGGTTTGACCTGCTGGCCATTCAGTTAGCAGGCACACATTTAACTGCTGCGCCACCAGGGCACCTACCCTTTGTGTTTGCTGTAAGAAATAAATACGGAACATCACAGAACAAGGCCTGGCAGACAGCAGCCAACAGTTGGAAATGGCTGCAAGAGAACTTGAGGGCAGGCACGTGTCAGAACACAAGGCAGTGAGTGAGGAAAGTGGATTTGGCCCATAATTGTTGAAGTTGGGTGATGCGTACATGAACATTTTTTATGCCATTCTTTCTACTCTGGTGTGTGTGTTTTAAATTTTTCCATAATAAAACATTTGCAAAAAGAAAAGTGGAATTTGTTCTCCAGACATGATATCCAAATTGCCCAAGAGGCTCATGAGAAGATGCTCAATATGGCTAAAACCAAAAAATTCTAACCCTGCTGCTGACTTGTAGCTATCCTGTCGGATAATTCTGACTTGTAGCTATCCTGTC